AGGGTGAAGGTGCAGCTAATGCAAACAACCCAGGTTGGAAGCCATGATCTTGGCAGAAATAAATGGCAGCATAGGCAGTTTAATATATTGTGACCATGTTTAGCACTTCCATCGACAGCCTTGCCAAGCAAGACTTGACTTGACAAAATAAAATGGATGTAATTCTAATGAACCAAATGATTAAAGTCAGATGTTTGAATAGGTGGAAGCTGAAAGCCTAATATGAGGGTCAGTAAATCAGGAAACTAATGGTCTAGTGGTATTATTACAAGATTACTAATCCAGAAAGTCAGGTACAGTTTTGTGGACCTGCGTTCAAATCCTGTCATGGTAGATGATGGAATTTGAATTACATAAATGTCTGGGATTAAGAATCTAAAGATGACTATAAATTAATGACGGAAAAACCCATCTGATTCACTAATGTCCTTCAGGGAAGGAAATCTGCCCTCTGTACCCGACTTGGCCTACGTGTGACACCAGACCTAGAGCAATGTGGTTGATTCGCAACTGCCCCCTGATATGGCCTAGCAAGCCACACAGTTGTATCAATTGCTATGATATCTCAAAAAAGAAATGAAACCAGACAGGCCACCTGGCACCAACCTCAGCACTGTAAACAACAGTGGCAGAAACAGCCCTGTTGAACCTTGAACCTGCAGTGTCCTCCTTACAAACATGTGGGGTCTAGTGCCAAAACTGGAAGAGCTGTCTCAAAGACTAGTCAAGCAACAGCCTGACATAGTCATATACATGGAATTATACCTTACAGACAATGTCCCACGTCGTTGTCACCATCCCTGGAAATATTCTGTCCAACCTATCAGAGGTGGCAGCAGTGAGATAGAGCCAGGAGGGAGTTGTCCTGGGAGCCCTCAACATTGACTCTGGATGCCATGAAATCTCATGGTATTCAGTCAAATGTGGGCAAGGAAACCTCCTGCTTATTACCACATACCATCCTCCCCTGGCTAATGATTCTAATTTCCTCCATATTGAACAACACTTGGAGGAAGCACTGAGGATGGCAGTGGCACAAAATGCATTCTGAGTGGGGGATTTCAATATCCATCACCAAGAGTGACTCAGCAGCAGCACTACTGATCGAGCTGTTCAGGTCCTAAAGCTCATAGCTGCTAGACTGGATCCGTGGCAGATGTGAGGGAATGAACAAGAGGGAAAAGAGTATTTGACTTCATCCTTACCAATCTGCCGGCTGCAGATGCACCTGTCCATCTGTAAGAGTGACCGCTGCACAGTCCTTGTGGAGACAAAGTCCTGGCCTCAGGTTTTTAATAGCTTATATTGTGTGATATGTCATATCGCCATGCTAATTGGGAACAGATCTAACAACTCAAGACTGGGCATCCATCTCATGCTGTGGGCCATCAGCAGCACCAGAAATGTACTCCAACAGTACATGCAACCTCCTGGCCTGGCATATTCCCCACTCTACCATTATCATCAAATCAGGGGATCAACCCTGGTTCAATGGAGAGTGTAGCAGGGCATGCCAGGAGCAGCACCAGGCATACCTGAAAATGAAGAATCAAACTGGTGAAGCTACAAAACAGGACTATTTGTGTGTCAAAATAGCATAGGCAGCAAATAATAGACAGAGCAACAAAAGCTGGGGTGAAGATTTCGACAACAAATGGACTAATACAGCTGGTGCAGAAAGATGTTAGAAAGATATAAATAGCAATCATTATGATGGAGTTATTATGGATTTACAAGTTCAAGATGAAATAGAGCAGCAGGGTCTGGCTTTGTTTGAGATATTGATCAGGAGTGCTGAAACCCATAGCATTGCCTTTATAGAATAGAGTATATTGTCACATATACTCACTGATTATAGTGAAAAGTTTATATGTCGCCAATTGTAGTGCCAACTTAGATACAAAAGTACATAGGCACAGCGAACAATGTTTGTTGTGCATGTGGAAGACCAGTAGCTTTGGTCCTCCTTATGTTTTAATTGGAGGAAATGTCTACTCATCAAGCACTGAATTTTGGACAAGTAATCTAAAAACACAGAGGCTGTAGTGGGATTGAGAGAGGCAGTGGTGAGCTTAACATTAGTATCACCAATGTACATATGGAACTTGATTTTGTTTCTTTGCTGAGAAACAACAATGGTGTTGCTGTGAGACAGCAGATAGTTGAGAAATAGAAAGGACTAAAGATCAATATGAAAAGAGAACCACTGTAAGGAGAATCTCTGGCTAATGTTCCGGAAGCTCAGTTTTAGTCTCATAGAGCATAATACACATCCTTCACCACCATCCGGTACAACTAACTTTGATAAAAAACCCATCCTTCAGTGACAATATCCTACAAGCAACATGTACTCCTGATTCCCAAAGCCCATCCACCATCCACAAGGAACGTGTTGATGGAATACTCCCCACTTGCCCGGATGAGTGCAGCTGCATCAACCCTCAAGAAGCTTGACACCATCCAGGACAAAGCAGGCCACTTGATTGACACTACATCCACAAGCATCCACTCCCTCCACGACCAATGCTCAGTAGCAGCAGTGTGTACTATCTGCAAGATGCACTGCAGAAATTCACCAAAGATCCTTAGGCAGCACCTTCCAAACCCATGACCACTTCCATCTAGAAGGACAGGGCAGCAGATATATGGGAATTCTACCATCTGCAGGTTCCGCTCCAAACTACTCACCATTCTGACTTGAATACATATTGCCATTCCAGGGTCAAAATCCTGGAATTCCCCCACTAAGGGCATTGTGTGTCTATCTACAACGTGTGGACTACAGTGGTTCAAGAGGCAGCTCACCACCAACTTCTAAAAGGCAACTAGGGATGGGTAATAAATGCTGAACAGCAGCAATGCCCATGTCCTACAAGTGAATTAAAGAAAACAGGCTGAGGGTCAATCTCCTATCAGAAAGTCTTGCCCTCAAAACCTGGCAGCCATATATGAATACGCAATGGAGGGGTTGGGATTTGAAGGCTAGGACAAGGAGGAAAGGGTGGGAATGGTTAACATCTTGGTGGGGATTGCCTCCAGTGTGTAGAGTTCACCTCCCAAAACATGTGAACAAACGTCTGCCTCCTTTCTGTCCGTAACTGCAACTAAATTGAGTAATTAACGACCTCAGTAGGTCTTAAGGGTAGGCAATCTTTTGAGTGCCTTACCAAACACAGCGACCTCCTCCATATTTTGGGAACCAGGTTGAGGTGGGTGGGAAGGAGGTTGGCTCACCACCTGATATAAGGGGTCTATAGAATAAAGTCAATGGGTTTATATTCAATCTGTTTCTCAAAGAGAGGAAAATCACACAGCAGCTGGTTGCATGTTCCTGTAAATCAGCATACTTGGCAAGGGGTTTAGAGGCTTTATTTAATTTCCGAGTTTTGTAATTGCTTACTAGTGAACAGGTAAATACGTGCTTCAAACTATAGCAGACGTGAGGTATAGTCAAAGGGGTGATTGCAGAAAACTGGACTGCTAACATCTGCATAATTGTGATGCCAATGTTCAATTTGCAAGAAACAATGGACATGGTGCCAATCACCTTTGACCAGCACTGTCCTTGTTCCCACCTCAATACATGCCACTTCTTTCAAGTCCCTCACCTGCCCACCACCATTGACTGCTGCACCATCCTCAGCAATCAGCACGTGGATTCTCAGGATCATATTCACCCCAGACCTTTGACCGACTTCAATGACCGACCCCTAGACATGACTAACCAGCCCCTGACCACTGTTTTTGCAGCTCCCTGACTGACAGTACAAAATTCCCCCAACTGCTTGTGACAGCCGTACAAGCCTGATTATTTCCCACTCCCCAGCCACATTCCCTGACCGTGCCTGACCCAAATGGATAAATGACCACGGTCAAGCCCTTGAACTGGGCATATAACTTACAGATTCCCAGACTGGCACCTTCTTGCCAGGACTGAGGACTAGCCCTCACCAACATTCAGACATGGCCATTTGGTTGAATAAAATTACAGTGTTCGTCATGTAGGCACCAGATACATACTGTAGGGTCCTAGATTGATGTCTTGGTGTGCCATACAACAAGATGCTCATCCTGACACAGCCAAACTGACAAGCAGTCTGTGTGACTGAGCAAAAGAGCCTGTCAATACAGCAGTACTGATAGCCTTTGTCTCTAACTGAAGCACTAATGCACTAACAGACGTTCCATGGCAAGGATGCTATGATTATACAGGTGGGTATTAAGTGAATGAGCACTAAGAGAACAAGCAAGCAGCCTGGAGATGCAGCCAGGCCTAATCCATGACCTGGGCTCCTACCCATGCATGCAAAACCTTTCAATACTGGTTGCCAGTGTACCCTGCAATCTAGGTCTCAACTTCTTCAGTGTCTGCCAGTGGATCAGATTGGTGCCATGAGGATCATGAAGTGTTTGCAGTTATTGGATACCCGTGGACGAGGGCTGAATGTAGCTGGTGCCCATGCATCAGTCCCTGAGATTCTGTTGTGTTGTGAACAATGTGAATGTTCTTCACAGCTAGCAGTGAGCTGAAATTGCCAGGTATCTACTCTGGCTTCCGTATTGAGAATTATCATTGTCAGGTTTGCACACAGTGGATGGTAGGATAGGAACTGAATATTAATGAGGTGAGATGTGTATTCAATAAGGTTGTTAACAAGAAATAATCCCTCAACTGACCGCTGCCTGGTGAGAATATCACTTCAGTGCCCAGAACTTAGTTAAAAGATGTAGCAAGTTGCAGATAGTTGTCATTGGTCATCTTGAGATACTGCCACATTTTTCACCATAGACCACATCATTCCAGTCCTTATAAGATTCTGCCCAGAGTTAAAATTGTGTCGGTAAAGTTCTGAGTGAGTGCTGTCAAATAGCAAGAAACCATTAAAAAAGCAAATATATATTTTTGATGTGTTGAACTAATTCATAATGGTGGCTTAATTATGCAATTAATGCACATTTGACAATTATGCCTGACTTGGAAATCTTTGTTTCTGTGTCAGTCCCACAGTTCTGTTGAACGAGCAGGGTTAATTGCTGGTGTCAAAATGAGAAAATTACCTACTGATGAGAAGTTCAGTCTCCGTGGGGAGGCACTGAGACAAGCTTTGGAAGAAGATAAAACCTTGGGTTTAATCCCTTTCTATGTAAGTAAACATTATCTTCTGTCTGAAATTAACTTGCAACACTTGGAACAGATTTAGTGAGGAAAGGCTGTAGAGTGTAATTTACTGCTTTATGGAATGTGCACAAAGGTTAACAAACCAGATTCATAGCGCACCTGTTTTCTTGGTGGGTGGTTGTGCCTCATTAAATTAACCTTAAATGATGATATTCTAACAAATTGAGTCACTGGCCATGATCTTACTAATTTGTTGAGTACATAAGATGCATTAATAACTGTGGTTTACTGTAAATGTAACATTTTAGGCCTGGACTGTGTACAGCCTTTATACTCTACAAACTGACTAAATTAGCATTTTGGTTGCTACAGTTCAATAGCACCTGATTCTTCCAAACTTGATTATTTAAATAGACAGAACAATTGAGATGTTGTTGAGAAAGATGCAGTTTTATTTGAGGTTCTAATAAATGCAACTGCATCACGTGATAACATTTAGTGAACACAATTCCTCGTTTCTTTAACACAATTGTAGAACATAGAACAGTACAGCACAGTACAGGCCCTTTGGTGCACGATGTTGTGCCGACCTATTATCCTAGTAAGATCAAACTACCCTGCATACGCTACATTTTACTGTCGTCCATGTGCCTGTCCAAGAGTCGCTTAAATGTCTCTAATGTATCTGACTCCACTACCACCGCTGGCAGCGCATTCCACGCTCCTACCACTCTGTGTAAAGAACCTACCTCTGACATCTCCCCTATACCTTCCTTGAGTCATCTTAAAATTATGTCCCCTCGTGATAGTCGTTTCCGCCCTTGGAAAAAGTCTCTGGCTATACACTCCAGCTATGCCTCTCATCATCTTGTACATCTCTATCAAGTCACCACTCATCCTTCTTCGCTCCAATGAGAAAAGCCCTAGTTCCCTCAACCTTTCCTCATAAGACCTGCCCTCCAGTCCAGGCAGCATCCTGGTAAATCTCCTCTGCACCTTCTCTCAAGCTTCCACATCCTTCCTATAATGGGATGACCAGAAATGAACACGATATTCCAAGTGTGGTCTAACCAGGGTTTTATAGAGCTGTAGCATAACCTCATGGCTCTTAAACTTAATTCCCCTGCCAATGAAAGCCAACACACCATACGCCTTCTTAACAACCCTATCAACTTAGGTAGCAACTTTGAGGGATCTATGGACGTGGATCCCATGATCCCTCTGTTCCTCCACACTGCCAAGAATCCTGTCATTAACCCAGTATTCTGCATTCAAATTCGACCTTCCAAAATGAATCACTTCACACTTTTCTGGGTAGAATTCCATCTGCCACTTCTTTGCTCAGCTCTGCATCCTGTCAATGTCCCATTGCAACCTACAACAGCCCTCCATGCTATCCACAACTCCACCAACCTTTGTGTCTTCGGCAAACTTACTAACCCACCCTTCCACTTCCTCATCCAAGTCAATTATAAAGATCACAAAGAGAAAAGGTCTCAGAACAGATCCCTGCGGAACACCACTGGTCACCGAGCTCCAGGCTGAATACTTTCCATCTACTAGCACTCTCTGTCTTCTATTGAACAGCCAATTCTTATCCAGACAGCCAAATTTCCCTGAATCCCATGCCTCATTACTTTCTGAATGAGCCTACCATGGAGAGCCTTATCAAATGCCTTGCTAAAATCCATGTACACCACATCCACTGCTCTGCTTTCAACAGTATGTTTTGTCACATCCTCAAAGAATTCACTAAGGCTTGTGAGGCATGACCTGCCCCTCGCAAAGCCATGCTGACTATTTCTAATCAAAACAAAGCCACGCTGACTATTTTTAATCAAATAATCATATAATTATCTCTGGATTATCATTAATGTTCATTGTCTTTTTAATACTAGTAATGATTTGAAAGAGATGACTTACACATGTTTAGTGCAGTATATCCATAGGCTGTAAATGAATGCAGAAAAGAGTGAATTGCATACTGTTCCAAAATAGGGTGAACATATAAACAATTTTTTTTTACAATTACAAGTAGTCTTGTTAGTGTAATATAAATCGGTAGCCTAAATAATAGGCAGATGGCTCACCAATTGTTCTGATGTTCTGAATCCATTTTTTTTCAACCGTTTGTCTACAAATTAAGCATAACTGGAGCATTCGCTGCTATTTGTTAAAGCTAAATGATTCCTGCAGAGATTCCTATCCTGTTTGTATAGCTAACGCATGGCTTCAAAGATTAAACTCAACCTCATTATCTTTTAGCTTCTCCAAGCCTAAGGGTGTAATAAATTTCTGGACGTTTGTGAGCAATAAATCCAATAATGCATTGGTAAATATATGCAGTTAGAATGAAAAAAGAGACCTGTTTTAGATGTAATCAGTTCTTCAAACAGAAGGCAATGTCATCAATTTTTAATATTATACACAAACAGTTTAATGCGTCATTCATTTCTCTTTGTTATTCTTACATGAGATTCATGAGCCATTATTAGTATCCAGAAACAAATGAACATTTGACTTGAATTTGTAGATAGTTAATAAAATTAAGTTGAGCTTTTATACGTGATTTCTACATGACGCTAATATAGGAAAATAATCCAAGAATAAGGGTATGTACATCAGAATGGATCTCAGGTTTGTATCCTTAATTTCCAACATGGTGAACATTTATGTCAGTCATCCTGTTGAGTTGTGCCAAAGATGAGAAACAAGAGAAGAAAGCCCACAGGTTGTCATCATCCCCCAACCGTAAATGAAACTATTTCGGCTTTCATTATTACTGAAATGAAGTCAATAATGTATAGGTGATTCACCACGTCAGGTTGAACCAGATCATTTGATTCTGAGATGAGACTGTGACTACATATCCACTCCATTGACAAAACCCCCTACTTTTGCCTTGCTGGCATTGCCTATCAATGCTTTCGCTCACCTGCTGCTGAACCTTTTTTTACAGTACTGAGATGAATAGACTGTAAATCCTATGGGGTTTCATAATATGTAAACTCTCTTCAAGCTATGAGCAATTGCCAAAGTTACTCACTTGTGACCAGTTTTATAGCTGTTGCGGCTATATTCTCTAGGCAAACGTTTTATGGAGTCATTAAGTTGTACAGCACGGAAACTGATCCTTTGGTCCAACTCATCCATGCCGTCCAGATATCCTAAATTAATCAAGTCCCATTTTCCAGCATTTAGCCTATATCATTCAAAACCCTTCTTATTTATGTACCCATCCTGATGCCTTTTAAATGTTGTAATGGTATTCGCCTCCACCACTTCCTCTGGCAGCTTGTTCCAGACACGCACCACCATTTGCATGAAAAAATTGACCCTTAGGTCCCTTTTCAGTCTTACCTTAAACCGGGGAGGGGTCCAGGTGGAGGGAGAGCTTTGGACATGGGTGAGGGGGTCTGTGGGACAGAGAGAGGACTCTTGCCAAAAGAAATGGGCAGGAGGCGAAGATGATGGAAGAAGAGTTCTCTTCCTCTGATATATCAATAATATCATTGGTGCTGCTTCCCTCCAGGAATTGGAAAGATTTATCGATTTCACTCCCAATTTCCACCCTGCTCTCACTTTCACCTGGTCCATCTCTGACTCTTCCCTCCCCTTCCTGGACATCTCTGTTTCTATTTCTGGGGATAAACTGGCCACTAATATCCACTATAAACCCACCAACTCCCACAGCTACCTGAACTATACATCCTTGCACCCTGCTTCCTGGAAAGTTTCTATTCCATTCTCCCAGTTCCTCTGTCTTCATCACATACGATCCGATGATGCTAACTTCGACAAGGGAGCCTCCGAAATCCACCTTCTTCCTTAACTGAGGACTCCTCAGCACTGTTGTTGACAGGACCCTCAACTGGGTCCGATCCCTCTCCTGCACTTCGGCCTTCACCGCCCCCCACTTCCCTCCTGCAACAGCGATAAGGTTCCCCTTGTCTTTACCTACCAGCCCACCAGCATCCACAACCCAAAGATCATCAGCCACCATTTCTGCCACCTCCAGCAAGGTGCCACCACGAGACTCATATTCCCCTCCTTTCCCTTGTTCGCCTTCTGCAGGGACCATCCCTTCTGGGACACCCTGGTCTACTCTTCCTTCAATCCCAACATCTTTCCAAAGCCCCACGACACCTTCCCCTGCAATCACTGAAATTGTAACACCTGCCCATTTATGTGCTCCGTCCCCAGTATCCAAGGGCCCAAACATATCTACCTCCATACATACATACTTTTCCTGCACATCACACAATCTAGTCTACTGCATTCGCTGCTCACAATGTGGTCTCCTCTACATTAGGGAAGCAAAGTGTAGACTGGGCGACCGCTTTGCAGAACACCTACGTTCTACCCGCATCAATCACCCTGAGCTTCCAGTTGCCTGCCACTTCAACACACTACCCTGTTCCGTGGCCAATATCTGTGCCTCAGTCTTGCTGCAGTGTTCCAGTGAAGCTCAGCACAAACTGGAAGAACAACATCTCATTTTCCACTTGGGTACCATCTGAACTCAATATTGAGTTCAATAATTTCTGGGCCTGAACTCTCCCATGTCCTGGCCCCCTACCCTACACACCAAGCCTTGTTATCATATGGTCTGCCATTACACATTACCTATTGTTAGTCACCAACAGTCTCCATTAACAGCTATTCACTCTCCCAGCTAGATCATTATCCAATCCTTTGTCTGTCCAACTATCCTTCTGTCTCTTTGGGCTCTATCCTCACCTATCGTTGAGTTCTGACTGCCTCCTCCCACCCTATCTTCTGCATTAAAAAAATGACATTTTCCTAGCTACCATCAGTTCTGAGGAACGGTCATCAGACCAGGAACATTAACTCTGATTTCCTTTCACAGATGCTGCCAGACCTGCTGAGCTTTTCCAGCAACTTCTGTTTTTGTTTCCGATTTATAGCATCCACAGTTCTTCTGGTTTTGATTTTGTATCCGAATGGCTAGCCCTTCCTGGATTCCATATGATCTAAGCTTTCTAATCAGTTTACAATGTGGAA